CGAAAAAATTCCTTCCTCATCCCCTGAGAGGCAATTGGATATTCCCTGGATCAACTTTACCTAAAATGTTATATCCAGTTATATTCTGTGTATCCAAGAAACAATCCAGGACTTTTTTGAAGCAATCCACTGAGCTGGCCACAACCAACTCTTGAGGGAGTCTATTCCACATTTTCACAGCTCTTACTGTGAAGAAACCTTTCCGTGTTTGGAGATTACATTTCTTTTTCATATCCCCCCTTATGTATTATACATGGAGATCATATCCCCCCTTATGTATTATACATGGAGATCATATCCCCCTTATGTATTATACATGGAGATCATATCCCTCCCTTATGTATTATACATGGCGATCATATCCCCCCCTTATGTATTATACATGGAGATCATATCCCCCCCTTATGTATTATACATGGAGATCATATCCCCCCTTATGTATTATACATGGAGATCATATCCCCCTTATGTATTATACATGGAGATCATATCCCCCCTTATGTATTATACATGGAGATCATATCCCCCCTTATGTATTATACATGGAGATCATATCCCCCTTATGTATTATACATGGTGATCCCCCCCCCCTTATGTATTATACATGGAGATCATATCCCCCCTTATGTATTATACATGGTGATCATATCCCCCCTTATGTATTATACATGGAGATCATATCCCCCCTTATGTATTATACATGGAGATCATATCCCCCCCTTATGTATTATACATGGAGATCATATCCCCCTTATGTATTATACATGGTGATCACCCCCCCATGGAGATCATATCCCCCTTATGTATTATACATGGAGATCATATCCCCCCTTATGTATTATACATGGAGATCATATCCCCCTTATGTATTATACATGGCGATCATATCCCCCCTTATGTATTATACATGGAGATCATATCCCCCTTATGTATTATACATGGTGATCATATCCCCCCTTATATATTATACATGGTGATCATATCCCCCCTTATGTATTATACATGGAGATCATATCCCCCCCTTATGGATTATACATGGAGATCATATCCCCCTTATGTATTATACATGGTGATCATATCCCCCCTTATGTATTATACATGGAGATCATATCCCCCTTATGTATTATACATGGAGATCATATCCCCCCTTATGTATTATACATGGTGATCATATCCCCCCCTTATGTATTATACATGGAGATCATATCCCCCCCTTATGTATTATACATGGAGATCATATCCCCCCCTTATGTATTATACATGGAGATCATATCCCCCCTTATGTATTATACATGGAGATCATATCCCCCCTTATGTATTATACATGGAGATCATATCCCCCCTTATGTATTATACATGGAGATCATATCCCCCCCTTATGTATTATACATGGAGATCATATCCCCCCTTATGTATTATACATGGAGATCATATCCCCCCTTATGTATTATACATGGTGATCATATCCCCCCCTTATGTATTATACATGGAGATCATATCCCCCCTTATGTATTATACATGGAGATCATATCCCCCCTTATGTATTATACATGGTGATCATATCCCCCCCTTATGTATTATACATGGAGATCATATCCCCCCTTATGTATTATACATGGAGATCATATCCCCCCTTATGTATTATACATGGAGATCATATCCCCCCTTATGTATTATACATGGAGATCATATCCCCCTTTAATCTCCTCTTCTCAAGAGAGAATAAATTCAGCTCCTCTAATCTTTCCTCATAGCTGATCTCCTCCATGCCTCGTATCAGTTTGGTTGCCCTTCTCTGTACTTTCTCCAGTTCCCCAATGTTCTTTTTGTTAATTGGTGCCCAAAACTGAACTACATATTCCGGATCCGTGTACAATCACTTTTAGAGTTTTGTATTTTGCTATATAACTTCTGAGACCTTTGCCATTAGTCGGGTAGACTGAGTAAAATTCTAATTGCAGTGAATTCCACATGTATGACTAAAGTGTACCTGTCACCGGTTCACAATGGAATCATTAATTTTCTCATCTTATACATGCCAGGTAATTCATTAGATGCCAGCCACGAGCAGTACGGTGTCATTAAAGTGCGGCATGGACAAAAAAAATCTTGCATTTATTTTACAAAGTTATACTTTAACACATGATGAGAATGAGGAGGAGGGGGGTGTAGAGGAATGGAGGGTTTTGTGTGTTTTTTTTTTTTTTTTTTTTAAATTCGTATGCATCAATCTGAACTCCAGGTGAATGGATAAATACACAGAATACATATTGGGGGAATTTTACTAAAACTGGTGCACACAGAAACAAAAAGATGAAAAAAACACTGGTAATAGCATTTCGTTTTTTGTTTTTTTTTTTGTTTTTTTTAGGAGCATTAGCATTTTATTAGTGTTTTTACAGTACATGTAGGAAAAAAAGAAAATGCTAGAAAAAAGCTGTTAGAAGTGTTTATCGTTTTTTTTCTGGTGGAAATACTTTAGCACATGATGAGGAGGAAGAGGATGTAGAGGAATAAAGGATTTTGTTTTTTTTTTTTTTTTTTTATTTGGTATGTATTAATCTGAACTCCAAGTCGATGGCTAAATACACATTCAGAATACACATTGGGGGATTTTACTAAAACTGGTGCACACAGAGGGGTTGATTTACGTAGGCTCCGTGCATGCTAGTATTTTTTTTTTTTTAAACTAACAAAAAGCTGGAAAAGACACTGGATAAAAAAATGCTGGTAATAACGTTTTTTTTTTTTTTTTTTTGTAGCATTTTTTTTAGGAGCGTTAGCATTTTATTAGTGTTTTTACAGTACATGTAGGAAAAAAAAAAAAAAAAAAGAAAATGCTAGAAAAAAAGCTGTTATGATTTAGGAGTGTTTTATCGTTTTTTTTTCTGGTGGGAAAAATGCTCAAAAAAAAAAATTCTACAAAAACTTTTTTTTTTTTTTTTCGTGCTCCTAGAAGCTGAAGCTCAAAAACCACTAATAGCCTAAGGTAGTGTGTATGAACTCATAGAAACACACTTTTTAGCTTCTAGGAGCAGAAAAAACCCACTAATAACAGCTTCTAGGAGCTTAATAAAAAACTAGTGTGCGTGGAGCCTAAAGGCAATGAGACTGTGCACTTTGCAAAGTGCAGTTGCTCCAGAGCTTAGTAAATGAGGTGAAGCTTCATTTAACAAAAAATACCCAATCACGTGCAAGGGAAAAAAAAAAACTGCATTTTTTGCTTGCACATGATTGGATGATGGAAGTCAGCAAAGCTTCTGCCCATTTACTAAGCTCTGGAGCAACTGCACTTGCAAAGTGCACAGTCTGATTGCCTTTAGTAAATCAACCCCAGAATCTGGTGCAGCTGTGCACAGAAACCAATCAGCTTCCAGGTTTTAGGCTGGCTCCATTCACACCTAGGCAGTTTGCTTTTTGTCTGTTTTGTAGTGCTGTTTGCAGTTTTGCATTCTACGCACATTTATGATGCATTTTTAACACATTTTTACTGTGTTTTTTGCATTTTGTTTATCTTTTTTTTTTTTTTTTTTTTTTTTTTACAGTTAATTTTTTTTTGTTGCTGGGTAGAATAAAAATGCAAAACTAAAAAAAAATGCATTTCAGCAGCTTCTCCATTGAACTCTATTGTAGCAAAAATTCTGCTTTTTGCTTTTATAAAAAGTCCCTGATCCTTCCCAAAAAGGCAGTAGCTCAAAAAAGCACAGATGTGAACGTGTTCCATAGGCAACCATGTTAAATGGACTATTGTGCGTTTCTGTAAAAAACGCATAGGTGTAAACAGAGCCTTAGTGCCTGGTCACACCTGTGCAATGTGCAAATTGAAATCGCATTTAAAGAATGTGAATGTCAACGTCTTAACGTGTGCGATTTGCTGCAGCGCGATTTCCAAAGTAGTTCTCGCGTTTACTTTTTCTGCAGTTTATTGCAGTTTCACATACATAGAATGTATTGGAAATCGCAAAGAAATAGTTGAAAAGTGCAATAAAGTATGCAGAAATCGCACACAAGTCGCAGCGATGTGACCTGTGACTTACACCTCGGTCACATCGGGTGCGACTTGGCATACGATTTGCATGCCCTGCAACTTGCAAATCGTATCTCAAATCGCACCCTATAGTCTGCTATTAGAGCGGTCATATCGGCGCGGTTCCGTCTTGGTTGGAGCCCCACCGATTTCTAAAGTAGTACATGCACGACTTTTGTTGCGATTTGCATAGACATCTGTGTCAGATGTCTTGCAAATCGCAAGAAATAGGCAAGTCACCCGATCTTGAAATCGTGCGACTTCACTGTAAGTCGCACGATTTCAAAATCGTCTTTGATGTGACTGGGGGGGCTTATTGTCAAAGCATCATTGAACAAACTAAAGTTAGAAGCTGATTGGCAGCCATGCACAGCTGCTCCGGTTTTACCCTAGATTACCGAGCGAACGACGTTTCCAATTTTTGGACGAAAAATTGTTCGGAATTTGAACCATGTATGGCCTGAATTAGTAAATCTCCCCCATAGTCTTATCTGCCTTTAAGCAAGGTCAATATTTATTTATTTCAGGTACTTATATAGCGCCATCAATTTACATATATATTGTACATTCACATCAGTCCCTAACCCTCAAGGGGTGTACAATCGAAGGTCCCTAACTTACATTCATCCATACACATACTAGGGACAATTTAGATAGGATCCAACTATCTTACCAGCATGTCTTTGGAGTGTGGGTGGAAACCGGAGTACCCGGAGGAAACCCACGCAGGCACGGGGAGAACATGCAAACTTCAGGCAGGTGGTGCTGTGGTTGGGATTCGAACCAGCAACCCGGGTACTGCCAGGCGGAAGTGCTAACCACTTAGCCACTGTGCTGCCCATATCTATTATTATTTTCCTGTTCAACGTGTATTTACTAAAATGACAGGTGCACTTTCACTGTGACAAATGAACAATTTATTTTTTTTCTCTTTTGATCTTTATGTTTTTTGTCCTTTTTTTTTTTTTTTAAGGTGTGAAAGTGGTTCCCATCCCCGTCCTGTCCGATAACTACAGCTACCTGGTCATTGACACCACATCCAGCCAGGCAGTGGCCGTGGACCCCTCAGACCCCGTTGCTGTACAGGTAGGTCATGAAACACTTTGTATTGCCGTTGTAGCAGAGGCAGCTTGACCATGTCCCAGGTGGTTGTCGTGTTATTTTTTCATTCATTCATTCATCCAGGTATAGAAAAAGAAACCATTCTGAGCTGCAGAATTGATAAATTGAATAGATTTGTACCCAGGGGCGGACTGACCATTTGGAAACTCGGGCACTGCCCGAGGGCCCAGGGTCAGTGGGGGGCCCCATGAGATGCCCCTGGTACCTTTTTTATAGGCTTTTTTGAGTTTGGGCAAGGACACAGGGGCCCCATGATCCCCTATTGCCCGGGGGCCCCATGAGTTGTCAGTCCGCCCCTGTTTGTACCTATGATGTCATCACCTTGCCGCCACTTTCACAGCTACAGTCTGACACCTGGAGGAGGGTCTGCTCAGCTGCGTAACGTCCTTTCCTCCTTTCTTTTTTTTTTTCTCACATCCTTTGATTCCTGTCCTCGGTTTCAGCGAAATCAGGCTTAAAGCAGTATTTAAACCCAAAACCAAAAATTTCATATATTGTAGCTTACTAATCATCAGATGTGGTGGCTGCATTCGGTTTTTTTTTTTTTTTCCTCTGTTCTCACCTGTTGATCTGGCCAGTAACACACCTCCTGTATTAGTGTGCGCCCACTCTGGATCAAGGAGCACAGGGGGCACCTTTGGATAACAGCATTGTCAGACTTGGGGGAGGGGAGTATTAGATGTCCTATCAGATTTAGATTCACTAACAAATTGAAGCCAAACTCCAGCTCACGCTTTATAATCCGTTCCAGCAAACATTTTTTTTTTCTTTTGAATTAAAGATTTTACATAAATCAATAAAAATGATCATTGTAAGCAAGTGGTAAATGGTTTGCTCATGCCTGTAAACTGATACATCTGGAAGAGAGCGTGTTCTGTTGGAAAACAACAGATTTACTGGCTGGATCACCAGATGAAAAAATAATCCTAAAAAAGAAAACTAAGGCAGCCACCACATTGAAGAATTGGTAAGCTGCAATATGTTAAATGTTTGCTTTTGGGTTTGATACTGCTTAAAATTCAGCACTGGAAAGCAAATGCATCAAATTCATAATCATTGTAAGGCTGGGTTCACATTGATGTGGTGCGGAATTCCGCACCGCATCAGAATCGTGTGAATTTTGGGTTCTCCAGCTGACTGCCCTCTTCCTTATCCAGCCCAGGGGGTGCAAGGTTACTCATACTGTCCTTCCTGGGAGCTTTCTGGGTTGGTGGCTGCCTTCAGGTCTTCCACTGGGCAGGCTCCTTCCCTGCTGCTCAGGCTGTCCCTCTTAGCCGACTGTGGCCCAGTGGAGGTCCCCTCTTCAAGCACCTGCTTGTATGTAGGCCCAGGGGCGGACTGAGCATTCCAGCACTTGGGCACTGCCCGGGGTCAGTAGGGGGCCCCATGAGCTGCCCCTGGTACCTTTCATAGGCTTTGTTGGGTGTGGTTTGAGTGTGGGCGAGGGCACGGGCCCCATGATCCCCTATTTCCCGGGGGTCCAGTGAGTTGCCAGTCCGCTCCTGTGTAGGCCCCTTCCCTGGGCTCCCTCCCTGGCTCCACAGCCCGGTCTCTTACTCCGTCTTACACCGGACACACTCTGACCGCATGCAAATTCCGCACCACATCAGAATCGCACCCCATAAACGCGAACCGATGCGGGTGTGTATGTTAACAACCTCCAAAATCGGTCCACAAAATGTGGTGCGATGTGCAGAATCGGATGACATAGGTGTGAATACCCATGCAATCCGATTCTAGTGCAGACCCTAAAAAGGGTCCTGCACCTTTTTGGTGCGAGTGTGGTGTGATTTGAGCCATACAATCGCACCACACACAAATCGCATGTGATTTGCACAGGAATGCAGTGCGGTTCCTGTGCGAATCACATGCGATATACCGCACCTCATTAGTGTGAACCCGAGCTAAACCTGCTTCTCAATCAAAAGCATAGTCCACATTTGGACTGCAATGTAATGTGTTTTTTGGGTTAGATACCACAACCCTAAGAACTACATGGGGGTGGTAGGGGGACTGGTGCCAGTGCACATGATTGAACATTGCCGGTCCCTAGGACAGGAAAAGATGAAATTTACAGGAAATGTGCCTTGGATATAGTATATCGCTGCATACCTCACTGTTATGGTTTTGTGGAATGAACATAAGCTACATTATTTCTAATGCACTGTTGGATCTTCAATTTTGACCAGAGCTTGACAAAGTTTTTCCAAGAGATATACTTTTATTAGTGTAGCACTACCCCCTTAGGAGTCGCTGAGTTATTTGGGCCCCCTATAGGCCTGCACAGCTGGGCAACATGCATCTTCTTCCTCCACACTTGCACACGGAGACAGTAACCAGTCCTTAGGCTTGTTTTTGTGATTTTATTTAGGGGTAATAAACTTGGATGGGATTGAGGGATGCATGGGATGCCCAAGGAACTGTGAACTGTGGGGACAAACTATGTACAAGTCTATGGACAGGAAATTCTGTTTCTTCTTTGAAGAGCTCTCCGGTGTACCTCCTCAGACCCCAGATGAATTCTCCTCTTCACTCAGCAGTACTAAGGGTATTCCCTGGGCAAAGGGATCCAAAAGTTGTCAGAGATTAAACAGTCCTGGCCAAGAAGCTAGTTGGGTTCTCCACCTGACTGCCCTCTTCCCTAATCCGGCCAAGAGGGTGCAAGGTTACTCACACTGTCCTTCCTGGGAGCTTTCTGGATTGGTGGCTGCCTTCAGGCCTTCCGCTGGGCTGGCTCCTTCCCTGGCGCTCAGGCTGTCCCTCTTAGTAGACTGTGGCACAGTGGAGGTCCCCTCTTCAAGCACCTGCCTGTATGTAGGTCCAGGGGCGGACTAACCATTCCAGCACTTGGGCACTGCCCAAGGGCCCAGGGTCAGTAGGGGGCCCCATGAGATGCCCCTGGTACCTTTCATAGGCTTTTTTGGGTGTGGGTGAGGACACAGGGGCCCCGTGATCCCCTATTGCCTGGGGGCCTCGTGAGTTACCAGTGCGACCCTGTGTAGGCCCCTTCCCTGGGCCCCCTCCCTGGCTCCACATTCCAGTCTCCTACTCCATCTTCCACCCAACACACTCTGACCACCTCATTCTGATCAGGCTCTATCATATCTGAGCGCTGTCCTGACCAGGTGCGGACTGACAACTCATGGGGCCCCCGGGCAATAGGGGATCATGGGGCCCCTGTGTCCTTGCCCAAACTCAAAAAAGCCTATGAAATAGGTACCAGGGGCATCTCATGGGGCCCCCTACTGACCCCGGGCCTTCGGGCAGTGCCCGAGTTTCCAAATGGTCAGTCCGCCCCTGGTCCTGACCCCATGCCAATCTCCCTGCTTGGGGATTGGTCAGGGTCCCTCAGGCATGCAGATAAGCTCCTCCTCAAACCCCCCCCCCCCCCCCCACCCACTGCCTTCTAGAAACTTCCCAAGCCTCTAGAGCAGGGGGAGGAATCGGGGAAATGATCTGCAGAGCACTGACCCAAGGTGACCTGGCTGACTCACAACCAGGCTGACTCATGCCCAGGCTGCTATTCAGCCTCTGCCTAAAAAAAACTAGCTAATGACCCCTGGCTAACAAGAGGGGCGCTACATTCGTTTTGGATAGAATGGGGAAGAATTAGACCCTGTCTGTGCTCGACTGGGGAGATCCACCCTTTTCTATTCGTACTGGTGACCACGGACATCGAGAAGGAGAAAACATGACAAAATGCAAAAATTTTAACGTTTGTCCTCAGAAAATAAGATGAGGAAAAATTTTCCAATGGGACACCGATTCTGTCGACAGCTGTCTAAGATGGGAATTCCCCTCACCTTGGGAAATGTCCTGTTGCTTCCCTAGTTACATAGTTAGTCTGGCTGAAAAAAGACAAAAGTCCATCCAGTTCAAACATTTAAAAAAAAAAAGTTATAATCCTACACCCACAGTTGATCCAGAGGAAGGCAAAAAAATCAGCAAAGCACGATCCAATTTACTTCTGCTAGGGAAAAAAATTCCTTCCTGATCCTCCTAGAGGCAATCGGATATTCCCTGGATCAACTTTACTTATAAATGTTAGTATCCAGTTATATTCTGTGTATCCAAGAAATAATCCAGGACTTTCCTACAGCAATCCACTGAGCTGGCCAGAACCAACTCTTGAGGGAGTTAATTCTACATTTTCACAGCTCTTACTGTGAAGAAACCTTTCCAATGTTTGAAGATTAAATTTCTGGGACAGGAAGTTCGATAGAAATTTCCTCCAAAGGAAAATAGACAGCAAAAAATAAACTAGCAGCGCTTTTTACTTCTTCCCTACTCTATCCAAAACTAATAAAGTAAAGTTTTGGCTATACATACTTTCCAAAAAAATGTATGTATTGAGATATGGTGTCGCATTTTTGGGTTTACATACACGTTGGGGCTCATTCACATTGGCCTATGTGTATTTCCTGCATTGAACGTAGACTCTTGCTGGCAGAGCTAGCAGAAGATCCTGTGTAAAATTTGCGCCAAAAATGGCACATTTAGATGAGTACAGTGCTTCTTTCATTCCAATGAATGGTGACACATGCACATGCATAAGCGTTTATGCTCATGCACAGAATAAATCTGCAAATCTGTGTGCCCCTGGACGCAGCTGTGTCCTAAAATTTATTTTTTTTTTTTTTGTGTGCGGCTAAGGATTTTATATTTTTACATGTTATTACAGCTGTGTGAATGGGCTCATTGATTACTGTGGGCAGCACAGTGGCTAAATGGTTAGCACTTCCGCCTGGCAGTACTCGGGTCGTTGGTTCAGATCCCAGCAATGGCACCACCTGCCTGGAGTTTGCATGTTCTCCCTGTGACTGCGTGGTTTTCCTCCGGGTACTCCGGTTTCCTCCCACACTCCAAAGACATGCTGGTCGGTTAATTGGTTCCTGTCTACATTGTCCCTAGTATGTGTATGTATGAATGTGAGTTAGGGACCTTAGATTGTACACCCCTTGAGG